ACAACTTTGGTGGCGACATCTTCTTGTGCAGCCAGGCACTCTCGCAGCTCACCGCGGAGTTCAGCCTGGGTGATGAAGTGGACTTCGACCCATACTACATGTGGGACAACTTCGGCCTCGACGACTTGGTGATGCACAACCTCACCCGTCAGCACATGGAGAACATGGCAACGCAAGGTTGGTCGCCCATTGAAGGAGGCGATCCCGAGACTGAGACACGGAGCCAGTCGGCAGCCAGGAACATCGTCAAGATGAACTTCGGCGCGGTCATTGGGAGAAAAACCAGGTTGTTCGGCCATCTTGGAAGTCTCAAGAAGCAGATGTTCGAGGACCCAAGGTAGCCGCAAAGACTTATCAAATCATGACATCCACTCGAACATTGAGAAACTGCAGTATATCTAAATGTATCGTATTCTTGTGTCAGTTTGTATTGTGTCGGGTTGACTCAAGGACGTCACCACTCAGCAGGTGTTGATCCCCACTATGCAATGCATGCGGAAGTGCATCCAGAAGATGGTTGAGGCAGTCAAGCAGAAGGAAGAGGGGGCATCCCGGCAGGAGTCCTATTGACGCATGCACCTGCGGTTTCCTTGCCGGCGGCTTTGGGTTGCCGCAGACTTCCGATGCTTGGCATCGCACCCGCATACGCCGGGTTGCCTCTGTTTCACCGTGCAGGCCTTGCTCTCGAGGAAACACCGACGAGGGTCATGCTCGAATCGTCGTGATTGTCCATGCTGCTGTACCCTCAGTGTTGCTTGCATCCACCCTACAAAACCAATGATCTCACGATCATAAGGTCATGAGCCTTCCTTGTTTCCACACACGCAAAGCCAATGATCTTATGATCATAAGCTCATAGGACTCTTCCCCCCACAGAACCAATAATCTCCTGATTATGGGCTCATGAATTCTGACCTGTGGTGCTCACGCGGCCGCCTCTGCAAGTTGCCCTGCGAGGTTGCGTTCCTGGGTAGCCTAGGCCCCGGAGCTCGGCCGGAGAAGGGGAGGGGTCAAAAGCATCAAACGCCACGACCGCTGCCTCGACAAGCGGCCAAGGATTCGTACAATGGCCACAACTCCGCGATGGATTTGATGGGGGTGTTGAAGGGAGGGATCAAAAGCAGCAAAAACATCAAACGCCACGGCTGCTTCGAACAAGCGGCCCACAGGTACATAAAATGGCCAACAATCCGCGTTTGACCGATTTGATGCATGTTGAAGGGAGGGATCAAAAGTGTGAAAAGTATCAAGCGCCACGGCTGCCTCGAAAAGCGGCCCCAGGCTCGTCAAATGGCCAATCCGCATTTGACCGATGGATTTGATGGAGAGTTGAGGAGAGAGATGAAAAAGCAGCACAAACATCAAACGCCACGGCGGCCTCGAACAAGCGGCCCAAAGGTTCATAAAATTCATTGCGCTCGCGATCTCGGTTTTGTAACTGCGCATCACCCGATAAGCCGATAAGCCGATAAGCCGATCACATGGACGGCTTGCACTCCAGGTCAAGACTGGCTGATCGGCTTGTCGGCTTATCGGCTTATCGGCTTATCGGCTTATCGGCTTATCGGCTGATCGGCTGATCGGCTTATCGGGTGATGCGCCCTACTGCGATTTGGGAACAGAGCGTTCATATCCGAGACCTAATGACGAGCATCATGCCCAAAACCTAATGACGTCCGTGGTCTACTGTTCCTTGGGAAAAGAGCACCCGATGTTCAAAGCCTAATGACGTACATGGTCTACTGCGATTCGGGAACAGAGCACACCATGTTCAGAACCTAATGATCTACTGCGATTCGGGAACAGAGCACATCATGTCCAAAACCTAATGACGTCCATGGTCTGCTGCTCTTTGGGAACAGAGCATCCATGTCCAAACCCTAATGACGTCCGTGGTCTACTGCGCGTCCATGGTCTACTGCGACTTGGGAACAGACCATCCATGCCCAAAACCTAATGACGTCCGTACTGCTTTTGTGTCCATGGTCTACTGCGATTCGGGAACAGAGCACCCATGCCCAAAACCTAATGACGTCCATGGTCTACTGCGATTTGGGAACAGATTCGGGAACAGAGCACCCATGCCCAAATCCAACGTCCGTACTGCTTTGGCGTCCATGGTCTACTGCGATTCGGGAACAGAGCATCCATGTCCAAAACCTAAAGACGTCCATGGTCTACTGCGATTTGGGAACAGATTTGGGAACAGAGCACCCATGCCCAAAACCTAATGACGTCCATGGTCTACTGCGGGTTGGAAACAGATTTGGGAACAGCACCCATGCCCAAATCCAACGCCTCATGACGTCCATGGTCTACGGCTCCTTGGAAGAAGAGCTCCCATGTCAATGCTTGATGACGTCCGTGGCACTGTTTTTTGAGAACAGAGCACCCATGTCCAAAACCTAATGACGTCCATGGTCCAGTGCGACGGCTGATATCGGCTGATCGGCTGGATCATGTCCGCGGCCTAATGACGACCCTGGTCTACTGCGACCTCCCATGTCCAACGCCTGATGTCTACGTGTGTATATATATGCCAGGTTAGGCATAACCGTAGCTTTTGGGCAAACGCGAAGCCGTCACGACCCAGAGCCTTTATGGTTTTTCAGTGAGGTGTGTAGGGCTCATGCCACATGCCGTGCGGTTGCTGATCTCCCTCGCTGTCGCTGTTCAACAGGGCGGCGGTTGGTGGCTCCAGGGCAACAGCACTAACCACACCGGTTCCCAGGAGTCTCGTGACGATTCCCGCTGGGCTCAGGTTCGTGGATGGATCGAGGCCCACACCACTTGGAGTGGCGAGTGGGCTTCATGGCTTGCTTGGCCGGACATGCCGGCCCCACCGGAGCGCGGATGGTCTTGGGACAGTGGCCTCTGCATGGTGCTTGATACCGTTGTTAGCTTCATAGGATGGATGCTCTTCGGGAACTCTTGGCCGGGAGTCAGGACGGGATGCCAGCGCATCTTTAGGCTCCTGGCTCTGCTGGTCCTTTGCATGGGGGCTCACTACTTGTGGGCGCTTTGCTGGCCTGTGCTGTCTTTGATTTCGGTGGTCGTGATGGGCCTCATTTGGGTGGCTCGGGCCATCGTTCGCAAGCTTGGGACGCTGGTTTACTGGGCTCAACAGGCCGCCGGCGGAGTTCCTGAGGCCTCCGATGCCGAGTTCTTGGGGCCCGGAACAGGGAAGATCCCCGAGACCGCGGACCTCCGCGCGTTCAAGAAGGTCGGGTCTGTGGATAAATGGGTCCTCGTTCGCCGTGGGGGGCACGTTGCGGTGTTCAAGGCTGGCAGCGAGTCTCAAACCATCAGGACACCGGGGCTCTACGTTCCGGTGGAGCCGGACACGATGAGGGGGGCCCGAGAGATCGTCGAAGCATGCCAGGGCTACGACAAGGTCCACCTGTGCCGCAACTTGGTGTGCCATGAGGAGGGCCAGCACTTCAAGGAGTATGGCTTGGCTCGCGACTTTGACGGCGAGCGGTTCCACCTGAAGAATGCGGAGCTCGGGGCGGCCAAGGCAGGCAGGACTTTGTGGACGTGGCTGTGGGCATCACCGGCAAGGGTACCAAAGCCCCTCAAGGAGTTTGGAGACGGAGGTGGCCAGGGCGTGCGGGGCTCACCGTGTCGGGTGGGCAGACCGGGACGGGGACTGCAGGCTGACGAGCCAACCATGTCGGGCACCAGGCACGGTGACGAGCGAGCTGCTTTACGAGGACCAGTTCGACGATCTGGGGCGTGTGGAGTTGTGCCCGCAGCATGCCTTGGACTACGAGAGGCGGCGACGGCCGCACAAATGTCACCGCCAGGACTGCAACCACGTGGGCATCCTCGGCGACTCAGGGGACGGTGTTAGGCGATGCCGCCTTCACACTTCAGGTGCTGGCCGTAGATCAAACTCCCGAAGGCGATCCCCGGCTCCTGCTCCCCTTCCTGACCAAGACGATCCTGAAGAACCAGAGCTTCCTCACGGCGGTCGGGTAGGCGATGGGGGGCTTCGTGACCTTAAGCGTTTATTGGCCGAGGTGAAGTCAGATGGTGCAAGCGAGCCTGGGAAGTAGGGTGCGCGAGACCTCGCCGGGACGGACCATTCAGAAGAATTTGGCTAAGCTTGGGTTGTTGGACTCGCCGGCTAAGGACCACCCGGTGCCATTACTCGAGGAGTTCTTCAACCAGTACGCTGAGGGCCGGGATGCGGGTCTGACCGAAGAGGAGGTGCGCGCGAACATGGCAGCCGAGCGGGGCCAATCGTTCAAGGAGGTGACCAAGGAGCTCATCCGCCTCGCCATCGTGGAGCAGGAAAAGGGGCAGCGTGGCCTTACTAAGTTCGTCAAGGCATGGCAGCGTTCAGCTACTACCCGCGGGTCTTCCCCGGCGAGTGTGACGAGGAACAGTTCGGCACCGTCCTGGGCCCCGCCTGAGAAGCCACCGGCACCAATCCGCATCGGCAACCCGGGCATCTTCGGCGTGGATGAGCGCAAAGCGGGTGCTGTGGACACGGGCGCCTTCGATGAGATTGCTCGGGCCATCCAGTCGCAGACCGCGGAGATTGTGTCGCTGGTGAAGAGCCACACCGAGAACACGGCGGTCCCACCGGGCACGGTCAAGGGCTTGAACCGCACGTCGGAGGAGCTCGTCTTCTTGCTGAGGGCGTGCAACCAGTACCAGGTGACGGTGGGTGCGGGGGAGCAGGGCCAGGCTTTAGCGAACGCACTCCTCTCAGCTCAGGTGGGTGCGTCCACCAAGCTTCGGCGGGCCGGCTTCAAGCAGAAGGTGACCACGAGGTTGGCTGTGGGCCTAGCGGGCCCGTACTGGGGCACGCAGGAGAAGCACGCTTTGAACGCCACGGACTTTGTCGCCCACACCGATGCCGAGTTGGATGCTTTCGTGCAGGAGATCAGGTCTAGCAAGGCGGGCGTTGAGCAACGGCCGCAACCCCCAACCAAGTTGGAGGACTGGGAAGGAACACCTCAACTTGTTGAC